AGCCTTAGAAGTGTATTAATATTGATGGGTAAATAATTGACATATTAAAAGTTTAAGGTAATTGAAGAAAATTTAATTTGTGCATTTACTTGTTTTATCGATTGTGGAGTTTTAGAAAACTTCTTTATAATTATGATTTGAGTTACATTGATAATTGTTATATGATTGTTAAGTTTGTGACTGGATGATCTTGCATATTATTGATTTATGAGTGCATGATTGGGTCTGACCATGTGCTTTGAAAGTGTACTCATGATAATATGCATAAATTTGCCCACTTTGCATTTTATATTATTAATTGACTTGTATATTCATTTATTAGACTATCCTAATTATTGAGTAGTTATATTTATTCCTCTCCTTGACATCTTGTAAGAACTAGCTCTAGGTAAGATAGAGATAAAGCACCAGAGGTTTAGGAACTCGATTTCCTATTGCATGACTTTTTATTTTTGTTTATATATATGTAATTAAATTGATATTGTCAACTAAAAATATATTTTTATATTGCTTGCACCATTTGAATATTTATTTTCATTTTTTGTATTTTAGGCTCTTAGAATTTGTATACTGAGATTTCAGAAATCTAGATAGGGTTAAAATACTAATATAAGTATGATAATATTTGTATCATGATTGTAATTGACTATATTCAAAAATTATGTGAGATGTCTCCTGTTGTCATTTTTTATGTCAAAGAGGTGCGAGTTGAAAATGAAATATATGTATGATATAAATGTTGTGGCATGTTGCACAGGCCCCTGATGCTGTCATTTAACAACATGAGGTTGTTCGATTTCATGTAATACGCCACGTCGCATGGTACAAAAACAACATGCCGTGATGAAAATTTTTATTTATTTTAACCTATTTTCAATTATTTTAAGTATCACTTGGTATCTTATGCTTTCATATATGTTTTTAATTTAATTTTTAACCTTGGTTTTGTTTAGTTTTAGAGTGTTTCAAGTAAAACTAGGGATCCTATATTTGTTAATATTATGCTTAAACTCAAGATTGTTTGTTTTGGGTTTTATTTGAGTTAAATTACTTAATTTTGAACTAATCTACAATGGTGGTGGGAATTATTCTACCATAGTTGAGTGCCTTAAACTTGTAAGTTGAGAGTTTCAAATCTTGCAATCATAGTAGATTTTTTAAATATCTTTTTTTTTCTACTATTGTTAGTCTTTTATAATTGCAGTTAAAAAGATTTGTCTATCATGTGATAAATTGTTTGGACTAGTCTTATGATTATCATAGTAATTTTAGTTAAGAAACTGGGGTAATACGGGTGATATTACTTGATTTGAATTTTCTGTTTTCTTGGGAACTTTTGGTTGCTAAAATGGGATGTGATTTTAATTTTCTATAGCTCTAGTCTTCCTCAAGTCTCTCTCAAAATATGTGCGTTCGGTCCTCTTTTTTTTTTTTTTTTTCTAATTATGAGTCTTAGATTTTGTCAATAGGGTCACTTGAATCGTAGCTATGACCTTTGTAATCTATAATTAAGCTTTGTTGATCTCATTTCCTCTTCTTTGTTTTTGTTGGCCAAAATCTCACTTCCTCTTCAAAGCTTGAATTTCGGTGTAATTTTTAGTGAAGTTTTTGGATTAACGTTGTAACAATATCATTTTGAATCATGAAATTAGATAGGCAAATAAACTGACTCAGCAATGCAGCAAGAGGAGCAAGACATATTTCTTATCGAATTGTTGGTCTATTGAAAAGCATTTAAATAACAGTACAAACGAGATCGGCCATGCCCTTGCTTTTATTCCACTTGCTACCCAAGATCTTTCTTCTTGAATAATTGAAGAAATTGAAAATCTCTATAACAATATGCAGAAAGCTGAGTTTAAGGCAGTTATAGCAGAAGAGGAGATTTTAGAGAAAATCGAATTAGGGATGCATGAAAAGAATATTGACCGATCCTATGCTAGTAATTTGATTTAGATTGATGATAAACTTAAACTTCTAAATCTCTTTTATTTATTTTCAAGAAGTTTTTAATTTATTTTGAATTTTAACCTTTAAATAACCATCGAATTTCAAGAATTGAGTAATTTTAGAAAAACTGAATTTTAGAATATGAGCTCATAAAGGTTAGACCTATAAAAAAACTGTCAGTTTTCTCATTTTCCAACTCTTCAAGCATATACTCCTTCTGTTTCTCTCTCTCTTTCTATATATATATATATATATATATGAGAAAGAAAATTATATTACACAATTTGAGAAAATTAATTAATCATAATAATTATGTTTAAAAATAAAAAAATTAAACAAAAATACTCCATGTTAATTAATATCAGTATGCGTTAATTATTTCTCGTTAATGTAAATTATGAGAGGTGATTTAAGAAATATATAATAAATATTTATTAAAATAGGTAATTTTATTTGTATAAAAAAATAAATAAAAAGTAAATTTTTTTTATAAATAAAAGGGGAGAGAGTAAATATAATATGAGAAAGAAAACAAAACGGGTGAATGGAAATGGAGGAAAAAGTACCGGTCCATTATTAAACTATGAATATGTTATATTAACTCATAAAGATGGTACCGTGCGGGCGTGTTCCACTTGGCTAGGGACCACGTCAAAAAAAAAAAAAAACGCCACTGGGATAGGTGAGCTCCCCCTCATTTTTTTCAATAACGTATTTTTTCATTAAGAATATTTTTATAAAAAACACATAAATTATATTTAAAATATTAAAAATATCCTAAATTTTTTAATATCCAACCATTTGAAAAAAATTCACTGAGGGATTAACATATAACATTATAATACGTGGTGTGTTTTTCTCACACACACATACATATATAATAGTATACCAACTTTACATTTAGAGGTGAACAAAATTGAATTCAAATTAAAAATCAAACTGAATCAAATTGAATTTTGTATAATCGATTCAGCCTATTCAGTTTTTTAGTTTGATTTGATTTTTTTTTTTAAAAAAATTTTGATTAGTCGGTTCGATTCAATCTAAAAATTTTTAAACCAAATAAACTGAATAGCCAGAATTATATATATATTTTTTTATATTTTAAAAAATATGAATAAATTCTCATATAAATAAGTAAGAAACATCTTTTTACTACTTACAGTAGTAGTATTTTTTTATTTAATGTAATGTTCTAATTTTTTTATTTTTATAATTTAGTTTTCAATGCAATAATATTAAACTTTATTAATTTTCTTATGAATTACAATATAACATTGCTATTTTTTTGTTAGGCATTCAACATCAAAGGAAGAAAATTAAATAAAATAATATATAAATAATTAGATTCTATAGATCCAAATCAAAGCCCATGAGTTGAATAGATAAATTGAATTGAATCATTATAATTTAATTTGATTTTAATTTGGTTTGATTATGTATTTTATTTGATTTGACTTAAATTTTTTATATAATTCAATCGATTGCTATTAAAGAAATTTAAACTGAACTGATAAAATGTTCACTTCTATTCACATTACCAGTCCTGGGGCAAGAAGCACGTGAAATATCCTGAAAGGAATGGGAGGAGACGATTAAAATTAAAAATGAATGAAAGCGCATTAAAAACAAAAACAAGAAAGAAGCAAAATCAAAGAGAGGCTCCATGCATTTTACATTCTGTGGAATTTGCGCGTTACAAACAAAAAATGGACTGTTTGGATTTACTGCACGAACGCAGCCCACGTGTGTGACCATCCATTGGCCCTTTTTCATTTCCTACCTCTACTCATTTGTAAAAATACAATTACCACAAGTTCACCATTAAAAAGTTGAGGTTAATTTTAGGATATATTTAGATAGCCTCGGAAATATCTCCATACCTCAAAAGCCACTGTCTCAACTCTCAACTCTCAACTCAACCTTTGATTTTCTTTTCTTTTTTTTTATGGAGAAATTAAAACCAAAAAAAAAAGAGAGAGAGATTGGAGGAGAATGGGACTTGGAAAATGGGATGTCACGTCCAGCCTTTCAATGTCGTTATAATTGTTACTCTGAATGTTAAGCTCCCATGAATTGTCCAATTGGGGACGAGGTAAGCGGAGGACTTTTATGATCAGTTCAGATTTCAATTTTAAAGCAATTAAATGAGTATGAATAACGGGTGACATTTCATTTGAATATTCGGATATGTTGTGTGTTTAAAAAAAAAAAACAGCGGTAAAATTTGAAAGCTCTGACAGTTGATTTCTTGCTCCCACTTTCATGCCTAAATCTCGCACCCGCCCGCCAGTTCATGCATTAGAGTCATGCTCCTCAGATTACTCCTTAACTCTAATTTTTCTCATGATTCAAAAAAAAAAAAAAAATCCATACATGCTTTTCATAATTTTATTTACACTTTATATTTTAATTCAATAGTAAAATAAAATTACATATGATTGACTTAAAATTATGTTACTGGCACCACAATACAATTCTTACTTGGAGAGATCCCATCGGACGTTGGAACTGACGTCTGTCAAATGTGGAATTGTTACTATATTATGATCAGTTTCCTGACCAAGCTCGATGAAGATCTAATTATCAAGACCTTCCTGCAACATAACTTATAAATAACTGATATAATTTTGTTTCAAAAATCACACTTTACTCTATTTTAATTTTAAATTTATATTTATTATCAAATACTGTCTTTTAACATGATGGATGGACAAATAATAAAATTAATATACGAGCTTATGGCTTTAGATTTAGCAAGGAGTATAAATATAAATGAGGTGGGATTTAAACCTTTCAAATATAATAAAAATACGTATAAGTCCATTATTAGGATAAAAAGCCAGCATTGGATAAAAGTCATTTTTTTAGGAGCAATTAAACAGGTCAAATACAGTTTTTTAAAATATAAAAATAGGGAAACATATTTTGAAAAATGCGGTATGATTTATCTATCATGCTTTTCTCGAACCCACAAGGGCAACAGTAAGCAGGGCTCCTCCTTATATACGAGCAACGAGGCGGAAGCACCTTTCAAGATCCCCCTTAATTCTGTCTCCGTCTCCCTTCCCTCTAATTCCTCACCTCTTCTTTCGCTGAAAATATATCTAATCTGTCATCTTTTAGATTAAGAGCATGGACAATCAACGCAGCCCTCTGCTTAGTTGGGCTTACTACTGCCAGGGCAAGGTACCTACTCTCATTTATCCTTCTGCTCTTACCATTTAGTCAGTGTCTGATGTTGCTCACTTCATTTGCTTTCTCCTTAGTAATGTGTAATGGGGCTTTCCCTCTTTGGAATTTGAGGACTAATTATTGATTCTGTGACGCATAACTATGATGATCCAGTCAATGGAGGAGCTGAGGCAGTCCCTGTTGTACACCACTCTTGAGCTGGAAGAAACAAGAGCTGCAGCGCAGGAGGAACTCAGAAAGAGGGATGATCAACTGGTTAATCTCAAGGATCTGCTTAACAAGACCATTAAAGAGAGAGACGAAGCACGCGAGAAATGCCACAGGCTTCTCTTGGACAAGTTTGTTCTACAGCAGCAACAAGCAGCTCCTCTTTCTGGAGTTTCCAGCATTGAGGACGAACCCAGAAGGGGAATTGACTCCAACAATGGCCTCTCTTCATCGGATTGTGAAGAAAGCATTGTTTCTTCTCCGGTTATTGACCATTTCCCTCAACCCCAGTTGCCGCCACAGCCGCCATTACCGGCGACCCAATCCATGATGGAGTTGGCTCCTGAGAAGCCGTTACCAGAAAAAGGCAAGCTTTTGCAGGCGGTGATGAAAGCAGGCCCTCTGCTTCAGACTCTGCTTTTGGCAGGACCACTTCCTCAATGGAGACACCCGCCACCCCCACTCGACTCTTTTGAGATTCCTCCAGTCACCATTCCTTCACCGCCGCCGGCGCCGCCGGCAATACCACCACAGCTTCTCCACCAAGATTCCTTCATCAATACTAACGGTGCTGGCAGCACTCCCATCAACTGCGGAAGAATTAGTAGAAAGAGGGCTTTCTGTCAGGGCTCTGAGAATCCCACAGAGGCCAAGTACCAAAGGGTCGTACTCCCTTGACTGCCGGATTTGGCCGATTAATTTATGATTTACATATTTCGTAGTTATTAGGATTAAAGGTTAGAAATTTACTGCAAGGAGTTGAAAATGGCAAGCTGGGCATGCCGTGTGCGACTGATCTAGCATCTGTACAGTGGTTTGTTCTAGAGAGGAAGTTATTCGGATTTAACTGGGTAAGACATAGGCTTTGAGGCAATTTTTCTTTTGGGTGAAGAATATGTAACGGACATTTTGGCCTCTTCACTTTTGCTTTGCCTTCTCTGAATTTGTAATGTAACTAATTAGATAGTTTAGTTCAGCAAGTGATGGGAGTGTTGGTGGGTGTTGTGTGAGATTGATAGAACACATGGGTAGAATGAAGAGGGGTGGATGGGTGCGGAGTCGTTGGGATCGGGAGATGGGTGGGAGTGGGACTGTAGCCAACGACCAAAGGGAAGGTTTTGAGCCCTGCTTGTCGGGTCAGGAGGACCCACAAATCAGAATCAGGATCTGTTATTAGTGTGGTGTATGATTATATTAAGCCTCCGCTACAAAAGCTATCATTATTCAAGTCTAATCTCATGTTCCTTTAAATTATTTCTTCCCTCTTTAGTTTTAGTTTTACTATAACTTTAAAGCCTTTTATTTTCTTGGTATCTGCTCCCACTCAACTCAACCGGTTTATGCTTTCTTTTAGAGCGCGCGAATATTTCTCCATGGACGAGAGCAGATAATGTTGACTAATAATCTCCATGTTACCTATCATATCTAATGAAAAGCATGGCTGCGAAAAAAATAAAAATCATAGGTTCCGCCAAACAAACGATGCATGCCGGATTGTAGGATGGAAAAGTTCAATTGTATTGTTCCGGCCAAAAAAAGTGTAAATCATCTGTTTTTCTGTAAACATTCCGCAGTTTCACTGCTGCACGAGCTTATCCCACAATTTCATCATTTATTTCGTGCGGGGGTGCCCATGTCTCGGTCCAACTTTGGTAATGTAAGGATGCCGAGGAAGGATGCAACCTAGGCATGTTAAACAATTGTGTCAAGCTCTGCGGTATTCTTACAGAAGATGTCGGGGTTAAGACTTCAGAGCACAGATAAAGATAGGAGAAGACACATGGATAATGTTGTCGAGGGGAGACAGGTCACAGCTTTGCTCTGCCATGTCAGTAACGAGGAATCCCAAAGGTGGTGGCATTTTGACCCGTGTGCTTTAATCAAATTGATTTATTTGTTGAAAGAAGAAAAATGGGGTAACTCTCATGTCTCATCCAGCTAGCTCTGCTTACTAGCATTACGTCAATGTACATCCTTGCACAGGACGGCAACAACAAATTCCTAAAAAATACGCTGAGCCACATCCCTAACAGTGAAACTGTCCGCAAATGGCGCTAATCCTCCTTCCTCACCCTACACATTTCCATCCTTCGTCAATAAGACGGTTTAAAGAACAGAGTGCAAGAAAACACACACACGCAGACACACAACGGGTGAACAATTTGATTCACTAACCAGTAAGTCGCAATCTACACACAGCACAGAGGAATCCAAAAGGGGGTTTCAAACACAGTTAGGTCGACTTATGCCAGAAAGCGCGGAGGCTTGAAGAATATCGCCATACGTTATAGTGCACCCGTTGTTCAAAAACATTAGGCAGGCGAATGCCTAAGTGCTTCCAGCACCATGGTCATTGTACCCGGTCCATTTCTCTCTTTACGCTACTTGGGATTGGTTACATGTTTCAAACAGCGACTTCTAGAATTAGCAAGTCCCATGGATCTTTCACTGTTGATTTAAAATACAAGATATAGCTTCACAGCATCCGCATGTGCCCTGCCAATCATTTGGCGGATAAGCTAGTGTTGACACATCAGGTTTATTAGCCGGACCAGCCATGCATCCCCACAGTAAGCGTGCTATGAATATGTGCAAAATTCTTCGCCGACGCTAGCATTGTTGAAAACCTTTACTGCAGCTCAATGTTGAAGGAACACAATGGATATCTATTTCTACAACCAATGCTACTTGCACATGCCTCCTGAAAAATGAGATACCGCTATCTGTAATCTAACGGATGATTTACAAGTTGCAATTAGATATTCAAAACTAAATCACAAGAAAAAAAACAGAATGGATGACAAATTACAAAAACCACATCACATCTTGCCAAGTACATGTGATCTTACTCTATATTAGGTATGCAATTCTGCTGTGTGACCGATGTTTTAGGGAAAAAAATTGCAACCACATATCGGATGCTGATGGCTTTCATAAACGTCATCTTGTATGCGAGGAATCAGAAAAGTTTCTCTCGAGAATACATTTTAGCAACCTGAAAATGAGTTTAAAAAAACCTTTAGCTTAATAGGCTAAGGCATGAACGAACATGACTGAAGAATTCATGGCTCTTATCTCAATCTTCCACCATGCATAATTTTTTTTTTTTTACAATAAAAATTTAGGCAAGTCGAGTTTGGAAGCTCTTCTAACATGCATAATTAATTAGTCAAATATATTTTTTTTCTTTACTATCTCAGATGATGAGGCTTGCTCAGGAGCTTTGTCATCCTAAACTCGACCCGGATGAGGGAACCCAAGAGATATCCCTTTCATCAAGAAAGACACATGAATGAAAAGTAAGAGCAGCTAAATGATCAACCAATGATAACAGGTACAACACAAATCAGTACCAATGTATATTGTTTGTACCTTATCCGAATCTATTATGCCCACACAGCAAGGTGAACAGGGCTAATGGTCAACTCAGCTGCTTTCACCTCCTCCCACCTAGCTGTAAGAAACAAAACGGTGCGTACAAAAGTGATAACACAAAGATTTGCATTAGTGAGGGTACTGCATTCAAGTGCTCTTGTCAATGTTTTTCTACTTGTTTTTTTTTTTATTCTTGTTACTATTTGCTTTTAAATTATAAAAAAAGTGCTCTCGCCAATGTATTTTTTAAAATGTTAGATTTCTTCTTGTTATGCAAGGGACACTTCATAGAAGAAGTCTGAAACTAGCATCAACCCCAAGCAAATACTTCAAATTGCCCCAACACAGAGTAATTGTATCGCCACTTTTGTGCTTGTATATATGTCACCTCATCAGTGCCCGTGCTGCTGGGGTTCTTGATATTATTTTAAAAGAGTTTGCGAGGAAAAAAACTCCTATATATCCTGCAACTTTCCTTTAATTATTGATTCGGATTTGAACTTTGATCTAAAATAATTTAATCTTCATAATTTCTCTCATTATCCTATATATTATTATTTGTGTTTGAAAATATGGCACCAAGGACTCAGAAACCAGGAGACAATGTATCACCAAAATGGAGGACTTGATCATAACGTGGAATCACCACAGGATGAAGATGCTTTCGGATATTTCGCTTGAGCGAATTTTAGCGACAATTTTTTTGGGTAAAAACTTTTGATCTTGATAATTAAAAACAAACAAATAATAGAACTGACTGATAGGAAAAACGTTTTTGTCCTTTTGGTAATAAAAATTGCCTTAGATGAAGTGATTAACAGATTTTGGTGATATTGTTTCCTCGCAGAGCTGTCAGGAAAAACATATTGCTAGGTGAGTCGCAAGTGGCAAAGCAACACAGTGGTCTCACTCAGAGGCCGAATATAGGCTGAGGAAGTGGGCTTTGCGTGTGTTATTGAGCCCAGAAGCCCACGTGGTTGCCAGAGATGGCCTGTCATTATGGATCCTTGCCTTGCAAGCAAAGGGCTTGACGAGCGTGGCCTGAGAAATGAACGTGCTGAATTTGAATCCGGCCCAATAAAAAAATAAAAAAACAAAAAAAAAACGGAAGAATTATAATTAAGTCCCACATAAAAAATAATAATTACTGTGAGTTAATTGTCAATAGACCGCAATTAATTTTTTGGTGTGAGATTTCAATATAATTTTTTCAAAAAGAATTGGAAATCGGAAATGACACTTGGCTGATGCATAACACTGTGAGGAGAGGGAGGGAGAGGGGGAGCGAGAAGATAGAGGAGGAGAACAGAAGCATGTGAAGAGAGAGATTGAAGATTTTGCCATGGTCTTGTACTTTTGTCTTGTCTCTGCATCTGAGGTTATCCTGTTCCAGTTGGACCAGATTCCCTTCATCTCTTCTCTGCATGGGAAGCAGCTTCCGGCATTACAACACCACACCACCCCTTGTTACTCCTTTCATTACGCTCCCTCTCTTCCCAACATAAACTATACTGTCCATATATGATTTTTATATTATATATATATTTCTTCCATTTTAACGTTTAATTTTTGTGATTGTTAAAACATAAAAAATACAAGTTACGTATTGTTTTGAATATTCCTTGTTTTCCGATGGACCTTCTTAATCTGATTTAAAGCGTGAATATTTGCTCAAAGTCCACCTTAATTTGTGGTCAAAACTGGGCAGTAAATTGAGCTTAAATAATAGTAATAATAATAATAATAATAATAATAATAAGGCTTTGAAATTAATCCATGCGTAATGGATAACTGATCTGACGAGTGAGCTTCCCATTGTACATATCAGTGACCAAGAGGCTGATGTACATGCCCGTGGAGAGGAGAGGGTTATCAATAATCACATAATCATCAGTGCAAATTATAGCAAGCTTCCCGAGCACAACGCCATGTCTAGGCACATAGTCGAACATGATAAGATCCCTAATCTCACATACGCGGACATGGTATAGGTCAAGAAGTGATTTAAACTTGAAAGAAAACTGAATGAACTTGAAAACTTGCATAATCAATTCACCATAAACAGACTAACTAAAGTTTGTTCAGTTTTAACTGAAAAGTCATATAAGCTTAGCTATCGGTGACGGGACTAGCTAGTTTATTTTCCACTATGCCTCTGACTTAACTAAAACATGCAGGAGGGAGATTGAACATCATAAATAAGAGACACGTCCTCATAATCTCTTACTTAAGAATAAATAAAAGGTAGAGCGAAGAGACGAGGCAGATGTGAAGCAGGAGTTGTATGTAATTCAGAAAAAGGAGGACGGCACGTGGAAGCATAAGCCCTGTGAAACGTCTCACACGCCCCATAACGTGTCACCCACATTCGTTTTAAAATGATTGTATTCAGCATATTTAACTCTAGTTCTAATCTGCATTGAACCCCAGCCTTCCTTGCTCTCATCTTGTTCTTGATTCTCTGCAGAAAAGAGACCAAGTCAAACATGATACAGAGATTCCATCATTTTCTGAATGTCAATGAAGGCCTGCAGTAGCCCACAACCGCAAAACAGGGTTCCTGCATGCACTACAGTACGTTGCTCATAGTCATGCTTATCACTCCTGTTACTTGCACATCGATCTCGAGCAAGAAGCTCCTAGATTGAAGGATATTCCCCCATTATTCTAACATGGTGATTCATCCTCTCTAATTTTATAATTTATCAACACCAACGTCATTATGTTCCCCCTTTGATTCCATTCACACCACAATACTATATTGATATACACTCCAATCCATGGGTCGTTATTACTATTTTATCCTCAAGTCCTATCCATCAGAAAGGGACCCCTTTAATTTTTTGTACAGGCCAACTAATATGTTCCCCCTGTGTCTC